TTTTTGCCCAAATTATCATACACTCCTTGACTGTTTCTTCTTTTAATTTATAATCCAATAGATATTTATATATTTTACTAATCAATTTCCTTTCCTCTCCATGCCAAATCTTATCTAATTCTTGGTAGGCCATATTAAAACCAAATTGTTCTTTATCTTTTTTGTAATGCATTTGTATCTGCGCATAGGGCCACCATGCTATCTCTTTTCCTTGAATTTGTATTTGATTCCTACCCTTTAACTCTCTGGTTTCATGTATCTTTATATCTTGCAATATTATCAAAATCTAAAACGTTTGGATGTGTAACTGCCTCCATTGTAGATAACCACAGTGGGACCTTACAGTAATGTACTTTTTTATCTTTTCCCAAATAGTTAATAACACACTCCCTTTGAAAGTACAAGTGGTGTTTACTCTTTCCATCCCACATAAAAGTGTGCCATCCAAGTTGGAGATCAAAGCCCTCTAATGTCAAGATCCTTTTATTTATCAAATTAGCTCAGTCTTTGAGCCAGGTTGCTATCGCAGCATAGTAATATGTTTTGAAATCTGGAAGACCAAAGCCTCCTTTTTTTCTATCGTCCTGTAATAATTTATATTTTATTCTAGATTCCCCCACCCCCGCCATATAAATTTGGATTGATTCAATAATGAACATAAGCAACAATGCAAGGACTGCAAAAATGTTTTCTTCCATAAATCTATTTTAAATTATTTTAATTATTTTTAAAGTATTTTATAATTATATTTGAGCATAATTGATTTCCTTTGTAATACAAGTTATGTATTTCATATTATGTATCTAAATACATTTTTCTGAGAAGTCCATGGCATTAACTTCTACAACAGATGTTTGTTGACTATAAAGTTGCTGCAAAAAATAGTGTCCAAGCATAACTGACTTCTTTGGATGATGTAATAATTTAGATTAAAAAATAAATGGATTGTACATTTTAATATTCAATCTGGAAATTTTTACTTTAATTTGAGGTTAGCCTCAGAATGACACTGGTTTTTGTAGAGTAATGTTCTTTAATCTGTAACAATGCAGTTTTTCATAAAAAAGTAGAGGCATTCTTTTAACAATTTTACTTTTAATTATCAGCAATAGATTTGATAATCAAGATTTAGATGCTTCGATACCATTTCCTCATGATGTGGAATTCTTACTCTTATTTTCTTCCTAATTAATAGCCAGGCTAGTCCAACAGTAATTCAGATAAAATAAACAGCAGAAAAATAAATAAGCATCAATTATTTTAGGGACCAGGCTACAGCTTTTTTTATTTTTTAAAAAATCCCCTCTCTTTCTTTCCCTTTTGCATGAAATGGGGTGAAATGATTTTTGTTGCAATAAATCCTGTAGCATCTCAGGGTCAGGACAGGGAATTTTCCTCCTGGTTCTCAGTACCTGAATTTCATGTCAACAGAATTGGAAACAATCACTAAGGGTCTTTAAATTGCTTCTGAAGATTTTGGAAGTGAAAATAATGGTAAAGTCAAAGTGCCCCATGTTAGCAAGACACAACATACAACTAGCTAGTTCAATTTTCACTTATTGAGGAACCTGCATTGTTTACTTAAATATGGAGTTGATTTCAAAAACAGCATTATATTTTGAAATTATAATTACTGTTTTTTATTTTACAAGAAGAATCAGCAATAACTTGCTTTGTTGTTGACTAATAAAAAAGTTGTGTATTAATGCCTGCTGCATGCAGTAACTTGATTTTTAAATTAACCTTGAGTTCACCTTGCTATATAGTATGTCCAGAATATTTTTTTCTTCGAGCCAGCATAGCTTTGTAACTTCTGTAGAAGAAAAAGTGAAGTATTGTAAAACATTTAGAAACTTGAGATGCCTTCTAAACATCTAAGTGCATTGAATTTGTCTTGATATTCATCTTTGTTTAGATAAATCATTCAGGATGTTTGACTGATTCCAGGGAAACATATATTCATTGTCTTCCTGCCAGGGTTTGTCTTGTCTGGATTAGGATTTAATTGTATTCCTAGTGAGTCCCTTCTGGTTGCACTCACTCTTTCAGATGAATGTTTCATCAATATTATTAGAATCACATCTCCAGTCTAGTTTATTCACACAATCTGTTGTGACAGCTCAGAGCATAATACTCCCTCAAGGAGGCATTCAATATCTTTCCTATCATGTTATTCAAATCATAGTTTGCATTCCTCAGTGGCAGTATAATGTTCTCCCTTGGATTATCATGAAATCCAGCAAGCACTAAAATTCTTCCCGTAAAGGTTTAGGTAAATATTCATATCTGACAACATTATATTATTAGCATATGGGGATATTCTGCCAGAAAAAGATTTTAAAAATGAGGCTTGAATGTTGTTATACTAATAATATTCAAAATTTTCATCGTAGTATTGTGGTGGTGGTGGGAAGAAATGAAAGAATAAAGATTAAAAAAAAAAAATCCTAAGCCTTTGCAACCTAGTTTTACCCTTTATCACCAATTCTCTTCTTGAACTCCAGAACAAAAGTGATTTAAAGGAGAAAGTAAAGGAGAAAGATGAAGTGATCAGTACTTTATATCCTCCGCAATCTCTAAAGCAACTGCTCACTGGGGGGATGTGAACTATAATCCTGTTGGGTTATGTGGACTTTGTTTCTTCACGCTCTTTTTGGAACTAGCTTTAAATCCAACATTATGTTACTATATGATGCAAATAATAATGCAGTTAATTTATTTTATTTTTCATCATGAATAGTCACCATTCCCTTCAACTAAAAAGGAAGAAAATACTCAACCATTGACAAGCATGTGTTGTTTTTCCTTCCATTGAGATCTACTCATAGTATCAGTATAAAGATAAAATGAGGAGTTGAAGAAAATTATATTAATTGAATCAATATTTCTAAACATGTCCAAATTATTTTTATGTACAAAAAACTCCAAGTGGATATTTTCTTAACAGACATGCTTAGAATTACCCTATAACCAGCACCCTATATTATGCATATATTATCCCTTTATTTGAAAAATAAATGTTGAAACAGTGTAACACAGAGTAACACTCAACCTTTCCAGCTTTGTGGACCAGCGGGGTGGCAGGAGTAGAGGGGTAGTTCCACACGAGCAGCTGGCAAGTAGCATGTGCAGCTCCATGTTCATGAGCATCAGGCACACACGTCCGCTGCTCATGTGCACCCACTCACCCTGCTGTTCACGCAAGTGGGAATGCACATGTACACACCCTCGCCTGCCATTTGCATGGCCCATTTGCAAATAGCTTACATGGCCCAAAGGTTGGGGCCCCTGGTGTAACACATATTGCAAAGTTAAACCTAAATATCTATGGAAAAAGCAAGTTAGAAGTTAATCATTTACAGATTCTGGGGTTACTATAGTCATTCTATTTTTTTAAAAATGATCAAACTAAAAAAAGAAAGTTCTAATGAGTAATAGAATGTACTAATGTTTTGCTGGTTTGTCTGTTTGTTTTGTCTCTTTAATCTCTTGGCAAGATTTCAGAAGCAGTTTATCAATGCCTGCTTCCTGGGCTGAGAGTGACCAGCCCAGGACCACCCAGCTTCTTTGGGCCTAAGGCAGGATTAGAGTTCATGGTCTCCCATTTTCTAGGACAGTGTCTTAACCACTACACCAAACTGACTTGTGTATAGGTTGTATGTATGTGTATGGGGGCAAGAAGTTATTTCCTGCTATATGATAGAAGCCTCGCTTTTTTACACTTACACAGTCACACTAAAATGAGTAGATCTTCAATAAACTACAGTTACAGCCACCATCTTGTATATATTTACTGTTATTATTTCCAACTTACTGATGTCATTTTTCACACATTATATGACTTGATTTCTTTATTCATTGATGGATGAAGAATTGAGAAATCACTTATCCTTCAGAGAATATGTTCTTTAATTCTGGTCAAGTTATTTGGCAACATCCAAAGTTTTTAGGAGGTGGTGAACAGATGGCTCTATATTGTTCTTTTAAAACAGAGAGGAAGAACTATGTCCCCTTTATGACTTGCGGACTTCAACTTCCTGAATTCTGAGCCAGCATGGCTGGCTCAGGAATTCTGGGAGTTGAAGTCCACAAGTCATAAAAGGGCCATAGTTCCCCATCCCTGTCTTAGAAGCTCTCCAGTTACCCAGACTCGTATTTGAAAAGAGCTCTTATTTGACTCGTATTTGAAAAGAGCTGTAGAGCAAGACCTCAAGAGAGCCAATTTGGTGTAGGGATTAAGGCACCAGATTGGAAACTAGGAGTGTGAGTGCTAGTCCTGCCTCAGTCATGAAGTCAACTGTGTGACTTTGCACCAGTCACACTTTTTCTTAGTCTTTGTAAGCCATTTCTGAAAAAAACTGTAGGGCCAGAAGATAAGATAGATCTTAAAACAAGACATGTGCATACACATGCACCTATACAGACACACCTGTAATCTGTTTATCTAAACATTGAAATTCTCCCAGTGAGTGATAGAATTGGATGTGATATTGCTAGGCCTCAAGTTACAAAGTTACAAATTTCTGGTGAACCTGGAAGGTTCAGTAGGCTTCAATCAAGGGCTGTGATTCTTGTAACTTTGCTCCACTTGAAATTAGTTTAATTCATACTTTTCATTTCGTACCTAGGAAGCACACAGTAAAGCTCCATTTGCAAACCATTATAGATAGCTAGTCCTCAACTTATGATCAAAATTTCAGTTTTGTTTCTGTTGCTAAGTGAGACATTTGTTAAATAAATTTTGCCCCATTTTACGATCTTTCTTGCCATAGTTAAGTGAATCACTGCAGTTGTTAAATTAGTAGCATGGTTGTTAAGTGAATGTCACTTTCTCGCTGACTTTGTTTATCTGAAAATTGCAAAAGGTGATCACATGACACTTAGGACACTGCAACTATCATAAATATGAGTCAGTTGCCAAGCACCTGAATTTTGGCTATTTTGACATGTGACTATGGGGATGTTGCAATGGTCATAAATGTGAAAAACTCACAAGTTACTTTTTTCAGTGCCATTGCAACTTTAACAGTGACTAAATGAACTGTTGTAAGTGGAGGATTACCTATACCATGATTTTGAAACAACCTGTTGAGTTTATTTGTATTACACAATTCCTGAAGATAGAGACCTTAAAAATGTCCATAATAATATTGTGCAAGATATGGCCATAGGTTTATTTCTCAAATCAGCCATTGATTTATGAGTTAGAACTTACAAGGTACAGTATCACTATCACTATCACAGATGTCTACTCCCAGGTCAGAATAGGAAATAAATATATAGTGTGCCAGGGTGAATTCAGTGTGCTGGTATTAATCTTAAAAATCTTATATGGCTTGATGCTCTGGAACCTGCAGGACCATCTTTACCCTCTTAAGAGTTTGGTTATTAAATGATGCTATCAGCATTTTGATTGATAAGTTTTACTGGGTTCCTGAAAACTGCCACAAGACCTATGGATCCTGCAGTATACATAGAGTATACATACTGTTTGTATACATACAATAAATACATCTTCTGAGCAATAAATGGCATTTCAGATGTTACTGAAGTACAATTCCCAGAACACCTTTTATCTCTAACCATGCTAACAAGTACTACTGGCAGTTGTGTCAGGCTACAAAACTTTTTCCCATTCCATTAACAAGAATGAACTTCTGAAAACCAAATGTATCAAAAGGAATCCTTTATTGAGATGAGACAATTCATGTAGGAGTTCAATGCAGCGTCTAAGGTCCCTTTGGCATACAGGGGTAGATAAGGGAGTTTAGAACCCCTCCCCTTATCTCGATGTGTATTTAGTGAAACAAAAGCCAGTATGTTAATTCCCCCCCTTCTCTAGAAACAATTTTTTTCACAGTTTCCCAGGGATACCTAATTTCCCCCACCCCCTTTTTAGAATGAACTTTTCCAAGAGAGTCCCAAGACACATCTCACTGTGGAATTGTTATGGTCTTTTTATCTCCTGGCTGTGCCTCTCAGAGGTGATAGGTTCTGGCCATCTGGGTTTTCTCCCTCCATTGTATCATGTATGGGTTATACAAATTTGATATAAGATTAAATATATTCAGGTTACATCAAGAAAGGGTTTCTTTATCAGTCTCCCCCCACCTTTTCTTCTTCCACTGAAGAAATGTCAGATACACAGATCTGACATCCTGCCCTCCTTAAAAAACAGATAGGTCTACTTGGAAAAAACAAAAATCTTGCATTACATTTGCAATTCAGGATGGTTTATCAAGGTATTTTAGGTGGAACTTTCGTAGTAATGTGGGTGTTTTTACATGTCGTTTGGCTACCCACTCATTTTCTGAGGAAGGAAGGTGTTTCCAAGCTACTAAGTATTGTGTAGATCCATGGTGAATGCATGAATCAAGGATATCTTTAATTTCAAAATGTTCCCCATGTACTATGATAGGGGTTGGAGGTGTGGGAAGGGGGGGGGGTCTGAGGTTTGAAGTGATCTCCAGTTTGAGCAAGCTACAGTGAAATACTGGATGAATCTGCCTAAGTGTTTTTGGAAGTTGAAGCTCTACTGTTACGGGGTTAATAATTCTGGAGATGGGGAATGGGCCTATGAATTTTGGTCTTAATTTCTTAGAGGGTTGTAATGATTTTAAGAATTTTGTGGACAAATATACACAGTCCTCAATCTTGAAAGGTTTAAGTTCGCAACATTTTTTGTCTGCTTGAGTTTTGAAAACTGCTCTAGCTTTCTGTAAAGATAATCTTACCACTGGCCACATGGCTTGTAAGTTATCCATCCACTCCTTAAGGGAGGGGATTTCAGGTTCTTTGTGGGTAGTTGAATTCTTGGCCCATGGCTACCTGGAATGGGGTGAACCCCGTGCTACTATGGACTGAGTTATTGTATGTTACCTCTGCAAAAGAAAGGTCAGTCCAATTGTCCTGTTGGTAATTAATAAAGCATCTTAAATATTGTTCTAATACACTGTTAATTCTCTCTGTCAAGCCGTCCGTTTCTGGGTGACTTGATGATGACAACCCCTGGGTGGAGCCTAATAGATTTAAAAACACCTGCCAAAATTTGGATGTGAACTGAACACCCCTATCTGAGATAATCCATTGGGGAGATCCATGAAGGTGATAAATGTGTATTAGGAACATCTTTGCATTGCCTTGGCTGTTGGGATCTTTTGGCATGGAATAAAGTGAACCTGTTTGGAAAAAAGATCAGTTACAACCCAAATGATAGTATTTCCAGCACTTTCGGGAAGCTCCACAAAAAAGTCCATAGAGATCTCTTTCCAGGTTGCAGAAAGGTCTACTACTGTTTGTAAAAGTCCAGGATATTTTCCTTGTCTTCTCTTTGCAGCAGCACAGGTGGGGCAGCTCGCAACATAGTTTTCAATGTCCTTTTTGAGGGACGGCCACCAAAAATATTCTTTTGATGAGGTGCAGGGTTTTTACAAATCCAAAGTGTCCCGCTATTTTGGAGTTGTGGCAGCGTTTCATAAGGTCCATTCTCTGGCTTGCAGGGACATAAAGTTTGTTTTCTACACAAGCCAGTCCATCTTTGAGTAAACAAGTGTTTTTGTTAGCCTGGAGCCAGTCGTCCTTAAGTAGTGCCTCCTTAAATATTGACATCATTGTGTCTTCAATCAGGGATGATTTTTTTTCCTCTTGTGCTCGGGTGATTACTTTGGCTGCTAGTTGGGTCGATTGGATCATCTATTTTATAGCATCAACCTTTTTGCTGTTGTATTGGGGTTTTCTGGACAGTGCATCTGCTAAGAAGTTCTTTCTCCCAGGAAAATATTTGAGAGTGAAATTAAACCGTTTAAAGTATTGAGTCCACCTTGCTTGTTTTTCAGAGTTTCCGTGGATTTTTCAGGGCTTCTAGATTTTTGTGATCAATCCATACTTCAAAGGGGATTTGGTTTCCTTCCAGGAAATGTCTCCATGTAAACATTGCCCACCGCACAGCATATGCCTCTTTCTCCCATATGGCCCAGTTCTTTGCTGGGTTTCCGTCAATTTCTTGGATGTATAACCGCATGGTTGTAATTGTCCATTCTTTTGGAGGAGGACTGCTCCAACTGCAACATCACTAATGTCTGCTTGGATGACAAAAGGTTGTTTGGGATCTGGGTGCTTAAGGACCAGTTCTGCTGAGAATAGACGTTTGAGTTTCTTGAATGCCACTTGGCATTCCATTGTCCAAATAAGGGGTTGCTTTGGCTAGGGTTTCTTCCCCCCCCTTAGTTTTTAGCAAGTTTGTGATAGGGAGGGTGATGTTTGCAAAAGCTGGAATGAATTGGCGATAAAAGTTTGCAAACCCCAGGAAGCTTTGCAGTTGTTTGCAGGTGTGCGGTGGGTCCCAGTCCATTACAGCTTTTACTTTCTGTGGGTCCATCTCTATTCCCTCGTGGGATATTCTATACCCCAAGTAATCGTTTTTTTCTTGGTGGAATTTGCATTTAGAGAGTTTTGCATATAGTTTAGCTTTTAAGAGTTTCATGAGGACTGCATGGAGTAGCTCATTCTTCCATCCTTTCCATGTAGATTAAAATATCATCAAGATACACTAAAACTCCTTTATATAAAAATTCATGAAGGGTTTCATTGATCAATTGCATAAACACAGCGGGCGCTTCTTTTAGTCCAAAAGGGAGCAGTTTAAATTGGAAGCATCCCAATGGGGTGTTAAATGCTATCTTCCACTCATCCCCTTCCTTTATTCTGATGTGGTAATATGCCTCGTAGGTCTAACTTTGAAAAAAAAATCCTTTCAAGAGGTGGGCTAACATGTCCTTCATGAGAGGGAGTGGGTACATATTCCCTATGCTAATCGTGTTCAATTTTTGGTAATTCACACACAAGCGTACAGAGCCATGTTTTTGCGGAATAACACTGGGGCAGCTATTTTTGGTTGGGTGGGTTCGATGAAACCCCTTTTTAAATTTTTGTTGATAAATGCTCTGAGTTCTTTTAGTTCTCTGGGAGACATGCAGTACATTTTTGGTTTTGGGAGTTTAGCCCCTGGTAGGATTTTGATAGCGCAGTCTGTGGTGCGATGGGGTGGGAGTTCAACACAAGCTTCCTTGCTAAATACTTGGGCCAGATCCTGGTACTCACTGGGGATGTTAATGGGTTCAGTCTACTGTCCGGTCATGGCTGACTCTCTGTTCTCTGTTCCTTTCCTTATCCTTTCCTCTGAGCTATTAGCAAATACTACATTTCTCTGGAATTGTCAGTTCCTCTCCTTCAATTTATTTTTTCATTCCATTTCCACAGCCATGTGAGTCCTAGGACTAGTGGCTCTTCTATTCCTGGGATACAATGAATGTGAGCATCTCACTATGGTTCCCTAGTCTTATTTTCAATGGTTCTGTGATAAACCTAGTTGGCTCCCCCTCCTGCTATAGTTCCATTTAATTGGCAGAAAGCGATGGGATTTTCCATTTCTGTCAGTTGGATCCCCAATTTCTCTGCAAGGGAGGGATTTATTAGGCATCAGGTGCATCCCGAGTCCAGCAATACTGCTACTTCCTCCCCCTTCCCTCAGATGGGGATAAATAGTCTTAGGGGTAGAGTGATTGGTTCAATTGGGTTGCTTACCAGTGGGTCATCTTCTGGATCGCTTTCGGACTGGCTCAGGTCCCCTCAGAGCATTGGGGATTCTTCCTCTAGGTTGGGGGGGATCGGAATCCCACAGGGCCTCTCAGGCCAGTCTCCTTTCCTTGAGGGTTGGATGTTCCAGGTTCCCCCCCCCCCGATGGGTGGTCTGGCTTTCTGGCAGGGGTTTTCGAATGGCATTCTGCTGTATGGTGTCCCTCCTTTCCACACTTAAAGCAACCAGACGTTCTTGGAGTCATGGTGGTTTGGGGTTTGAAAATTTCCCATTTCCCCAGGGGTGGGGATCTTTTCCAAAGCTTGCCACTGTGGTACCAGTTACGAGTCATGTCTATCTCCGCCTCCTCTGCCATCATGTACCATTCATGCAGGTGGTTTGGGGCCCTGTAGGCCAGGCAGGCAGCGTATAGGTC